GGGTGCTGGTTCTGGGGGTGCTGCGACTGGGGGTGCTGACTCTGGGGGTGCTGCGAGTCCTATTGGCGGTGGAGTTGTGGGTGACCCTCTTGGAGGTCCTGGAGCTGGAGGTACTAGAGGTGCTTCGAGTGCTGGAGGTGCTAGAGCTACCACTACTAGAGGTGCTGGAGTTGGACAGCCACCGCAGCCTGCTCTACTTGAGACACTCTCGTCGCAGGCGATTCGTGCGTGGGTCGTTTGGCGAGGCAGTCCTGGTGGTGGATGGTACAGTCCTGCTGGTGCTGGAGCTACTAGTCCTAGAGGTGCTGCTGGTGCTGGAGCTACTAGTCCTAGAGGTGCTGGAGGTGCTGGAGGTACTGCTGGAGGTACTAGAGGTGCGGCTGGTATTGGAGGTACTGGAGCTGCTAGTCCTGGAGGTACTGCGGGTACTGGAGCTGCTGGCACTGGAGGTGCTGGTGCTACTGGTGCTGGAGCTGCAGGAGCTGCTGGTCCTGGAGGTGCTCGTACTAGAGGTACTGGAGCTGCCGGAGCTGGTGGTGCTGCTCGTGCTGGAGGTGCTACTGGAGCTGCTGACCCTGGAGGTGCTGGTGTTGCTGGTGCTCGAGGCGCTGGAGCTGGAGGTACTGGAGGTGCTGGAGCTGCTGGTCCTTGAGGTGCTCGTACTAGAGGTGCTGGAGCTGCCGGAGCAGGTGGTACCGCTGGTGCTGGAGGTGCTGGAGGTGCTACTGGAGCTGTTGGCACTGGAGGTGCTGGTGCTGCTGGTGCTGGAGGCGCTGGAGCTGGAGGTACTAAAGGTGCAGGAGCTGCTGGTCCGGGAGGTGCTCGTACTAGAGGTGCTGGAGCTGCCGGAGCAGGTGGTACTGCTGGTGCTGGAGGTACTGGAGGTGCTACTGGAGCTGCTGGCACTGGAGGTGCTGGAGGTACTACTGGTGCTGGAGGCGCTGGAGCTGGAGCTGGAGGTACTGGAGGTGCTGGAGCTGCGGGTCCTGGAGGTACTCGTACCGGAGGTGCTGGAGGTACTGCTGGTGCTAGAGGTGCTGGAGCTGCCGGAGCTAGTGGTGCTGGAGGTGCTGGAGGTGCTGGTGCTACAGGTGCTGGAGGTGCTGCTGGGAGTGCAGGTGGAGCTGCTCATACTAGAGGTACGGGAGCTGCTGGTGCTCTTCGCCACCTTCTCAGTCTTCCGCCAGGTGCTACTGACTTCCCTGTGGCAGGTACTACTCCTCCGTTACTGTTTCCACCGGCCGACCAGTCTCAGCCGCCACTGCTACCGCACTCCCCACTGCCTGCTCCTACTCCTTACACTGCGGTGACACAGTCCCTGTCTGAGCATCGAGAGCCTGAGACTCGTGCTTCCACCCATGAGTGTCGAGAGCCTGAGTCTAGCTTTGAACTTGAGCCTGAGCCTAGAGCTGCTGTCCGTGCTCGTGTTCCTCGTGTTCGTCGTTCGCGTGCTCCGGCTGTCCCCGGCACTCACGATATGACACTCCGTCCTTCCTCTGTTCCTCAGCGTGTTGTACTACCGTTACCTCCTGCGTCCTCTCTGCCTGACGTTGCTGACCCTCCGTCGGACCTTGCTCGTGCGTCCAGTCCGACTGTTACTCGCCTTCTTGCTACGGTTGTGACGGACCCTACGTTCTCGTCTCCTGCTGCGTAGCTGAGCTCGTTGACTTTGCTGCTGTGTACCGCCTAGACTACCTTGCGAGTCTTGTCTCTTACCCTGTCCCTGCCTGTCCTCCGTCCGTCGGGGGTGAGACTGCTCTTGGCTGTACTGCCCTTGGCTGTGACGTTCTTGAGGACAGACAGGAGGAGCTGGAGTGCCTTGCGGCCGCTTCACCCCATCACGCGACCATGCTGCTTGCCCCTGAGGGAGACCCGGATGCACTTGACATCCCCACCCCGCGCTCCTACAGGGAGGCGATTTCGGGTGAGCACTCCTCTCAGTGGCAGACAGCCATGGACGCAGAGATGGCTTCCTGGAAGTCCACAGGCACCTACGTTGACGAGGTTCCCCCACCTGGGGCGAACATCGTCAGTGGCATGTGGATTTTCAGGGTGAAGCGGCCGCCGGGTTCTCCGCCTGCCTTCAAGGCACGTTACGTTGCTCGAGGCTTCAGTCAGCGTGCGGGGGTCGACTTCTTTCAGACCTTCTCCCCCACCCCGAAGATGACCACTCTTCGGGTGTTGCTACACGTTGCAGCTCAGCGTGACTACGAGCTGCACTCCCTCGACTTCTCCACAGCTTTCTTGCAGGGTAGCCTTCACGAGGCCATCTGGTTGCGCCGTCCAGAGGGCTTCACTGGGTCGTTTCCTGAGGGTACCCAGTGGAGCCTACGGCGACCAGTGTACGGCCTGCGTCAGGCGCCCTGCGAGTGGCACGACACACTGAGGACGACACTTGCGGCTCTTGGGTTTGCTCCTTCGACTGCTGACCCGTCGCTGTTTCTACGCACCGACACTACTCTGCCGCTGTTCTACATCCTCGTGTACGTCGACGACTTGGTTTTTGCTACTGCGGACACTGAGGCACTGGCTCTAGTGAAGGCGGAGCTGCAGGAGAGACACACCTGCACTGACCTGGGTGAGTTGCGGAGCTATCTTGGCTTGCAGATCACCCGGGACAGACCACGGCGCACCATCACCCTCACTCAGTCACACATGGTGCACCATGTCCTTCAGCGCTTCCGCTTCACGTGGTCCTCGCCACATCCCACTCCTCTTTCTACCGGCCACTTGCTCTCAGCTCCACCTTCGGACGAGTCCGTAGAGCCGAGTGGTCCGTACCCAGAGCTTGTGGGTTGCCTCATGTACCTGATGGCGTGCACACGACCTGACCTCGCGTACCCTCTCAGCCTCCTGGCTCGCTACGTGGCTCCCGGTAGACACCGAAAGGTGCACTGGGATGCTGCGAAGAGGGTACTGCGTTACTTGTGCAGTACATCGGGCGTGGGGCTCGTGCTTGGAGGACGGGGTTCAGTTGTACTTACGGGACACTCCGACGCTTCTTGGGCCGACGACCGGGTGACTCAGCGTTCGTCCCAGGGTTACACCTTCAGTCTTGGCTCTGGTTCTGTCTCGTGGAGGTCCACTCGTTCTTCTTCTGTGCTTGGTTCCAGCTGTGAGGCCGAGATCTACGCTGGGGCTATGGCTGCACAGGAGCTACGCTGGCTGACCTACCTGCTGACCGACTTGGGGGAGCGGCCTCGTTCTCCTCCAGTTCTGTACATAGACAACAAGGCCATGCTTGCCTTGTGTCACGAGCAGAGACTGGAGCACAGAACGAAGCACATTGCTCTTCGCTACTTCCTTGCGCGTGAGCTGCAGCAGCGTGGTCAGCTGCGCCTTGCTTACGTGGCCTCTCGGGCCAACACTGCTGATGTCTTCACCAAGGCCCTTGGGTCTGGTGATCATCACCGTTTCTGCACTGCTCTTGGGCTTGTGCCCACTCTGCCTCACCTGCTGGTTGCTTGACTTGCTCTTGTTGTACACTGATATATATATCTTTATACCTGCTTGTTTACTCTTGCTAGGTTGTGATCAGTGTACTGCCTTGCTATTATAACTCTGCATGTGAACTGGCCTTGTGGCCGCTTGCTTGTGCTCAGATTGTGTGGTGTCCTTGAGATCCACCCTGAGCTTTGCTTTGCTTTGCTTGTTCTCTTGCTTGACTGGTCTTGTGACCGTCTGTTGTGTTTGCTATCTCCCACTTAGCCTATGGGGGTGTGTCAAACTGTATGTTTGTGTTCTCTCTAGGCTATAGTGGGTTAGCCTACAAGGGGTACAACACTTTAGGGTTAGGTACTTGTACTCATGCATGCTACCTAGTCCATCATTTCTGCCTGCGTATTCTAACAGATGTCGCGTTGTAGGCTGGGTTGTTCTCGTAAAAAATCATGAGAGTAGTTCGGGATGAGAGGAGGAGGAGAGGGGAGGGCGCGGATCCAACGAACGTCAGGGTCAAAGGGCAGCTGGGTGTAGAGACAACGGCGAAGGTCAGCTACACTGGGGTGCCCGTCTTGTAAGATGTCGAGCCGCGCGCCGAGACCTGCACCTGTATAGTACGGACCTGCAAGCCAGGATCCGACGACGTAGACCGCAGTGAGGACACCTATGTGGAAGGTACCAGCTCCGATGGATGAACGTACAATGAGCCGGTTAGGGAGGACACGGTGGAGGGTGGCAGAGAGAGAAAATGGAGGGGAAAATGAGGTAACCTGGAGAACGAGTGTAGGGGAAGAGTCAGCATCTTGCGTGGGGAGGAACCACTCCCCAGGGGCTGCAATAGGGGGAGGGGGGGAGCGAAGAGCCACCCACCAGGTCTTGGGGATGGCACGGATAAGTTCCCGCCAGACTCTTCGTCCAGAGGTGTTGGCGGGGGAGCACGAGGATATGAAATCCTTGAAAGAGACCAGACCAAGTGAGTAAAAAGTGAGTGATACCAAATTGTCGACACGAAATTGCGATGATAGGAGGAAACGTTCATGCGAAAGAATTCCAAATGGCTTCCCATTTCTCCCGACATTGGCTTTTGTTCTACATCCAAATTGGCTGTTCAAGAATTCGAATTTCGTAATCGACTCGTGAGGGAGGATGGCACGGCAAATCGAGATGGTGTGTAGAAAAGAAAGCAAGAAAGCTGGGGTTGGGGGGCAATGAAACAGGGGCACACGCACACACGCTCAACCTCCAGAATTCCTCATTTGCTTTTCCGTTCTCCACAGAACTACGCCGGAAGCTGCTTCTTATTAGCTACTTGTTCATCTCCTTTGCTTGTTTACCACACTTACGTGCTTTTCTTGTGACTCGCCGACTTCTTGTAATCAATACGCAGACGTCTAACCTAACTCTTCACAGTTTCGTGGTTTCCGCCGCGCACCTCGTCAACCGCCGTTCACGCCTCTACCACATGTATTATTTCTACATAATCGCTGGTGCGCCAGTCTGAACCCTCAGTGAGCCGTCACGCCACAGCTGCAAATCCGAGCTCCCAGCTCGTCGTCATCATGAAGCGCGGTGACCGTTGCCGTCTGCTGTCTCTCCCGGACGAGCTTCTCGAGTCGATCCTCAGCACCGTTACCCACCCATCCGACCGCTGCAATGTCGCTCTCGTCTGTTCTCGCCTCCACCGCGTCTCGCGCCGCACGCCGCACTCGCTCCTCGTCGAGTTCATGCGTTATCAGCGCTGGGGCTCCAAAGTCCGGGATTGGTTGGGCGAGTTCGACATTAAATCAAGGGCATTTCCCCGCATTACCAGTCTGACCGTCCACCTGACGAACACCCTGCGAGACTACCTACTGGCGGGTATTGGCGCCACGTGCGGGCAGCTGAAAGAGTTAAGACTGTTGACCGTGGACTGGGGGAGTTTCGACGCCACTGCGAGTGGGTGGCGGTCGCTTGCTCGGCAATGCCCGTGAGTGGCTCGCGTTGGGGATGTGGAGGCGGTACGTCTCCCTCTTTCCCCCCTCCCCGCAGGTTTGAAACACTGCCCTGTATTTGCATTCAACGGAAATTGAAGAGAACAGAGAACGTCCTGTATTTGCCAACGATGCGACATTGTAATGATTTCCTCTCTAGGACATATACCGCTCTCGCTCTCTCTTCCCGCTCCCCTTCCGGGTGACATGAGACGAGTGTTGAGGTGCCTCAAAACTCGTCCCGCGCCCCTTCAGTCGTTTACTCGGCCTCGTTACAGTCGTTTCAGCAACTCAACATCACTAGCACTCTTCCTTCGCACATCTCGTCTCATCAACTCAAGTCCCCCCTCCCCCGTCTCTCCCCTGTCCCCGGTCCTGACCACCTTTCAGCCATCTGACTCATCTCGAGCTCAACTCCCGTTTTTCCCGCAATACTTCCCGCCGCCGCTACGAAAGTAGGACCGCCCTGCCGCCTCTCCACGCCTTCCCCTCGCTCCGCGCCGTCACCCTCGGCTTCCACCCCAGGGAAATCTCCCCCCTCCTCCGCTGCTCCGCGCTCACTTCTCTCTCGCTGTGGCAGCCCACGGGCGGCGACCTTGCCTGCCTCGCGTCCCCCTCCTCCTCCCCCTCCTTCCGCTCGTCTCTCCAATCCCTCACCGTCCAATCTGCCAACCTAACGAACTACCTCCTCCGCGTCTCCTCCTTCACCCTCCTCTCCTCGCTCTCTCTCCAATCCTGCATGTTCAACTCATGCGAGCTTCACTCCCTCTCGCGCTCCCTCCACTCCCTCACCCACCTCACCATTGACGATTGCCCTCTGGTGTGCGGCCGTGCTGTGGCAGCGATAGTTCGAGCAAACCCGTCCCTCTCCTCCCTCTCTCTCTCCGGCACCACCTACCGTCTCTTCAGTCCCAGTGCCCTCGCTACCGTGCTTCGCCTGTCGTCCCGTAAGCTGCAATCGCTAACGCTTTCAGGTCTGCCGTCGTTCCGTCCCGGTATGCTTGCGGGGTGCAGCAGCCTTGAGTCGCTCACTCTCGAACGAGCAGAGGGGTCGCTCGAACAACTGGTGGGCATGCTCGTGAGGGTGGATGAGGCCGGGGTAGAGGCGGAACGAGCCGCGAATACGCCTGCGGGTGCGGGTGCGGCTGCGGGTGCGGGCGGGGGAGCGGGCACGGGTGCGGGTGCAGGTGCTGGTGCTGGTGCCGGTGCGTGTGCGAGTGCGCCCGCAGCTGCTCCTGCAGCAGCGGCGGAGGGGAGGATCAAGGGGAACCGGCGCACCTACGTCGATATCCGCGCAGCAGCAGCATCGGTGCGCGCGGACGCGGCCTCTTCCTGGAGGGACGCGAGCCGGCAAATCAAGGCGGCGGGCGAGCTCGTGCGCACCGCGCAGTCGGAAGCGGAGACCGCGCGGCGAAGCCAGTGGCTGCACGGAGAAAAGCCCGCCATCAAGAAGATCATGGGCGCGATTTCATCCTGCCAGTCCGCGTCCGCGGGGGCGTGGGACGCGAACGCCGCGAGAGAGAAGGCGCGCGCTGTGGCGCGTCTGTCTGCCACCGCCGCCGCCGCCGCTGGCGCTGGCGCTGGCGCGACAGGGGTTTTCACAGCGGAGTTTCACGGGGAGGAACGTTGGTCGGAAGACGCGGACCTTGAACCTTGGGGTTTAGGCTCGGTAGTGTTTACAGACTTTACCGACGACGAGTACCGTGCTGGCGCAACCCCGGATGGGGTTCACCACCTGATGGTGGAGAAGGATCCGAGTGACGGCATGCCCGAGGCGTCGCGAGAAGAGCTGTTCACGACGCTAGATACGTTGTCGCAGCAGCTGCGGCCGCATCAGTCGGCCATGCGTGAGAGCGTTGAGGCGCTGCTTGCGGGGGAGGATGTTGAGGGCGGGATAGTTGGGGCGCTCGCAGCAGCGGCTGGGGCGGCGGCAGCGGGTGGGGCGGCGGCAGCGGGTGGGGCGGCAGCAGCGGGTGGGGCGGCAGCAGCAGCAGGTGGGGCGGCAGCACCAGCAGAGGGTGGGGCGGCAGCAGAAGCAGAGGGTGGGGCGGCAGCACCAGCAGAGGGTGGGGCGGCAGCAGCAGCAGCGGGTGGGGCGGCAGCAGCAGCAGCGGGTGGGGCGGCAGCAGCAGCGAGCGAAGCGACAGGGGGTACCCCAGGAGTGGAGCAACAGGTGGAAGCTGCACAGGGGCAAGGCGTGCAGGAGAGAGTGCAAGAGGAGGGAGTGCAAGAGGAGGGTGCACAACGGCAGAATTCTCTCATACAGAGAATTCTAGAAGGTTCTGGCAGCAGCAGGCTGGCATCAGCTAAGGCGCATCAAGAATCTGAAAGGGCCACGCCAGTGGAAGTGATCCGCCCTGCTTGCCTGGCCTCCCTGGTTCTGAATACCATCCAGTTTACTCCTCTGCCCGAGCCTGCTTCTGGAGATACTGCCTCTTCATCTCCTGCCTTGGTTCCAGTTTCCTGTACCCCTCGTTTCTCCACATCTCGCTCCTCAAATTCCTTCTCCTTCCCTGGTTCCTCCCAGCAGCAGCATTCGTTTGAGAGCATTGCCTTGGCGGCTGTGTTTGGCGGGCTGAGGCGGTTGGCAGTGGTGCAGTGCGGTGGGGTGGGGGAGGAGCAGCTGAGGGCAGTGCTGCGTGCATGCCGGGTGTTGGTGGAGCTGAGAGTAGAGCACTGTGATTCCATGTCCGATAAAGTGCTGCTCTCATGCCCAATCCACTCTCTTACTCACGCCACTCTCGTTGCTTGCAACGGGATTACGTCTGCTGGGGTTATCGGGTTGCTTGGAAGCTTTCCAAGGCTGAGGCAGTTAAAGGTGGAAGCGGATAAGGTTCCTGAACGGGCTCGACGGAAATTGCTTCGTGTTGGTGTGGTCATCAGGGGGGTGTGAGTGAAGTTGATGTTTCTCGCATGAAACCTTATCTGAAGGTGTACAGGTAGCAAGACAATAAAGTTTTCTTCCTCAGCAGAGCTTAGGTTCTCCACAGGGTGCTACTCTCAATTCGTGCAACACCTTCACAATGAGTCTGCTTCGTTCCCTGTGCGGGCTAATGCTACAGCACTTAGCCCCACTTAGCGCAGCAGCAACACAGGGTATTGTGATTGTACATCCTAGAGGCTCTCAGGGCACGATGGTGGTTGATGTCTGGTTCATGTTAGAGGGTTGAGAATGACGCATAGCATGGTAGACACAAGGGTGGAGTCTTCACTTCATATATGGTTAGAAGAAAACAGCCACATACCCAGTATTCACACGTGGCATGCAAAAAAAAATTATACAGCAATTGCACACAGAACCAGAAAAAACAAATTAACAGGCAGTATTAATCGAAGGTGGTCCCAGCCTTCAGCTTGCAGAATGGTAGAGAGCTGTAGCCTGTACAGTTGTTAGTAGAGAAGCAACCGAGCCGACTACGACAAACCCGATAGCCGATAGCATAACCCCTTGATGAACATCTCGGCTGCACGGGTGCGTGGCTTCGGCAGCGACTCATGGCGGAGGGAGGAGGAAGGCGAGGACGGCACGGTTGAACTCCTTGGGGCGGTGTGCGTTGAGGGCGTGGCCTGCCTTGTCCACCACCACCAGCTTGCACCTGTCGCCAAAGTGCCTGCCCGGCACAGCACACACACAGGGCATTGGAGAGAAAGGGGAGGAGGAGCAAGGACAGGGCGATAAAACTACAGTGGCGTGCATTGAGTGCGTGGCCTGCCTTGTCCACCAGCAGAGAGATTGCACTTGTCGTTAAAGTGCCTGCCCCGGGCACACACACAGCGCATGGGAGGGCACAGGCGTGGTGGGGTGGGGAGCAGGAGGGCATGGGGTGGTGAGGGAGTGGGGCGGGGGAGCGCATGGGCAGGGCAAGGGTGTGGGGAGCAGGAGGGCGTGGGGAGGGCAAGGTCATGCGATGCTGGAGGAAGTTGCGCAGAAGGCGGAGGAAATGGGGTTTGAGAAGCGGAGGCGAGGATTTGCTGTGGTCGTGTGACCCCTCTCTCCCAACAGTGCCTTGCCTCCGCACTTGTGGCCATTATTGCAGCGAGTGTTTTTTGAGAATTCTCAAAAAACACTCGCTGCAATATATTTCCCTCCCACGGATGTTAGTGTGTTGGCGCCTACCAAAGAGGGTACGTAACCTCGTGTGACCCCTCTCTCCCAACAGTGCCTTGCCGCCGCACTTGTGGCCATTATTGCACAAGTGCCCATAGAGGAGGTCTCGGTGTGGAGGATTGACTTTTGAGTCGACTCAAAAGCCATTATTGCACAAGTGCCCATAGAGGAGGTCTCGGTGTGGAGGATTGGAAATGCAGCACAGAGAGGCCATGCTGCACAGAAGAGATGGCATGGCACACACACAGAAGAGGTGACTCGCTTTTGCAGCAGAGCCACAAGCTGCAATACGCATGCATGCATGTGCAGTGCACCCTCTGGTGCGGTGTGCACTCTCACCTGTGCATTCTGTGTGCGATGGAGCTGGGAAAGACCCCGTCCTCATCGCCCCATACCAGCAGTGACTCCTGCCAGCACACACACACACATGCACATACACAAGAAGAGAGAGGGACAGTGAAGGCCAAGAGGTGAGCAGGACGTGCAAAAGGACCAGAGCAGAGTATAAAGAGAGATGGTAGGATGACACGTGCCATTGCAATGACGGATTTTGCCTATGCAATGGGGTGCCTGAATCGTACAGAGGGTGATGGGCCGCTCACACGAGATGCTGGGGACGATGACAGGAGACAGGATAAAAAACACATGGGCAAACATGCGGGGCGGGACACTGCACAAGGCTATGTCATGCAAAATACCCTGCACGTATCAGGCACATTGGCGTGCAGTGCACACAGCTAGAGCGTGTGAAGCGATGTGTGCTGTTCGTTTCAGCCTCCATTAAATCCATTGACTGCACTGACCATGGGGGGCGTGGGGAAAGGGTCGGGCGGGTTGTCAAGCTGCTGCAGCAGCGAGTCCAGCATCTGCTGCTTCACCTCCTTGTTCTCCTGTAGTAGCTGTTGTGCGTGGAGGGGCGGGGCGGGGCGGGGTGAAGTACACCGCAGTGCAAAAAGAGTAGAAACACGCACCGACGATCAACATGCAGCATGCAATATACAGGCAGCTTCAACACCCTGCAACCAAGCCACTGCACACAACAGACATGCTCTCTCTATCCCTTCACCCAACCCACGGCCCTCTCCCCTCCACCTCTCGCCCTTTCCCATCTCATCCCCCCTCCCACCTCATCCCCTCCCCCAACTTCTCCTCCCACTCCCATTTCCCCCTTCGTGCCCCCCCTTTGGTCTGCACGTGTGAGAGGGCTTTGAGCAGCCAGAGAGGCAGCTTGGGCGGATGGTAGTGCGCGAGGGACAGCAGGCGCTGCACTGCTGGGGGGTCGCAGGGGAGAAACACCTCCGATGGATGCTCCACCTGAGGGGACAGAAGGGGAAGGAAGAGGGGAGTCAAAATGAGCCCCAATCAGTAGCCATAAGATTGCATAGCAGCGACTGTTGTTTGTTTGGTCGAAAGCTGACTCTTGAGTCGACTAAAATGTCCGTTCCACTGCTGCGGGGTTGCTGGGGAGAAACACCTCCGATGGATGCTCCACCTGAGGGGACAGAAGGGGAAGGAGAGGCGGAAGGGTGAGGGAATGAGGACTTTGAGGGGGCTCAGAATGAGAGACGTCTGTTTAGGCACATATATCCAATGCATGGACCACCTGGGGGTATGAGGGTGGAAGCGGGAGTGGGTTGGAGGACGGGGGAGGAGGACAGGGCGGGGAAGGGAAGGGGACAATGGTGAGGAGGAGAGAAAAGAACGAGCGTAGGAATAAGCACAGAAGTCGATGAAGGTGCAGTGGGTGTGGGGAGGAAGAGAATATGTGGAGAAAGAGGTCAGGAGAAAGAGGAGAGGGCAACAGGGGGAGGAGAAAGAGGAGAACGCAGGGAGGCACTACCATGGTGGTACACGGGTGAAGGCGAAGGTGTCATAATACGCTGCCATGGATGGATGACTAAGCGCAGCAAGGTTATGGGAGGCTGGCCTTGCCAACGAGAGGAGAGGAGACGGTTGGTGGGGTGAGTGCCGGGAGTGACCACCCTATACTAGCACTCACTGCACGTGTAATGAGGGTATTTTTTAACGTCTCAAAATACCCTCATTACACGTGAGTGCGACCACCCTCTACTAGCACTCACTGCACGCTTGTCATGCGCTGCTCACCCCACCAACCGTCCCCTGCTCCCCCCCACCAGCCATCGCTTGAGCATGTCAACATTGTCGTCTCGAGTTGTGCCGGGTGGTCGCTCACTCCCGGCACTAACCTGTACCCACCCGGGAGACAGGCACTGTGGTCAACGATGACAGGCAGGCAGCACACTCCCTTCCCTTCTACCAAACACCCCACCAGCGCTGCCCGGGTACCCACCAGCACACCCTCTCCTCACCCGCAGCCCAACCAATTCACCTGCCATCGCTTGAGCATGTCATCATAGTCCTCCCGCGTGGCCATCACCCCCGACCCCACCAGCACTGTCCTGCCCTGTACCCACAACGATGACCGGCACACAGCGCACCCACAGCACATTCCCCCAACCCTCCCCTGCTCCCAGTGTCCCCCCGCTCCCACCTGCCATCGCTTGAGCATGTCATCATAGTCCTCCCGCGTGGCCATCACGCCCGACCCCACCAGCACCAGCCGTGACACGCGCTCCGGATGCAGTGCCGCCATTCTTTGCGTGGGAAGGGAGGGGGGGAGGGAGAGGAGGGTGGAGGGTTGCGAGGAGAAGGGAAGGGGTGAGGGAGAGGAGGGAGGGAGAGGAGGGAAATAGCCAAGGTACCCGACGACGCTAACTGCATGGGACGGAACCCACCAACAGGAGCTATGTTGATTTTACTTTTGAGAATCCTCGAAAGGAAACAATCGCCTGCATAACAGTTCCCTGATGCAGCGTGCCCACACTCCCACCAGAGACGTAATATCACAGACCACCACATCTCACCACACCACCACACACCACACACCACACACCACACACCACACACCACACACCACACCCCACACCCCACACCCCACACCCACCCCTCCCTACCTGTACGCCACGATCCCGCCGTAGCTCAACCCAACGAGATGGCACGCCGCTACCCCCAGCCGGTCCATCAGCTGGTTGCACCATGCTCTCCGCCTGGAAGACGTCCGACCGCTCACTACCACCAGAGACGTACTATCACGCACCACCACACCGCACCACACTGCACCGCACTGCACAAATGCACCCACCTGTACGCCACGATCCCGCCATAACTCAACCCGATAACATGGCACGCCGCTACCCCCAATCGGTCCAGCAGCTGGTTGCACCATGCTCTCCGCCTGGAACGAGTTTAAAGAGTCGACTCAAAACCCACCTGTACGCCACGATCCCGCCGTAACTCAGCCCGATAACATGGCAAGCCGCCACCCCCAGTCGGTCCATCAGCTTCACCATGCTCTCCGCCTGAAACACGTCGGACCGCTCCTCGCTGCTGCTGCTCGAGTCGCCAAAGAACACGAGGTCGGGTATGTACAGGTCGAAGTGGCGGGATAGCGCCGGCACCTGCTGCACCCACTGCCAGATGCCCGACCCGCCGAACCCGTGCAACAGTAGCGCCGCTGGCTTTAAGATTGATTTTGACTTTGAATCCTTTTCGTTGGTGGGGGGAGGTTTCCCGGAAGGGTCGTCGAAGAAGCCGGATTTCGCGAGCGGTCGGAGGCGGCGCGGCGCCCAGCAGGCGATGCGCGTGTGCGCGTCGACCTGCACGGCCATGCGGTGCAGCCCGTGCCGCCGGTAGCTCCACGCGATCAGCCGCTCGTTGAACCGGATGAACGCCGGCACCTTGCCGGCACGCGTCATGATTACGACGGTGGTGATAGAGGATGATGCTGACGTGGCATCTGGCGGCGGCGGCGGCTGGTGACAGTGAAGAATGTCACTGTTTGTGACTGAGTGCGTTATAAGTTACGAGATGAGTGCACCTAAAGCGTTTGGGGGAAAGGCTGGTTTGACCTGCAGCGGGGACGAAAATTACGCGACGAACGAAATGAAGTGTTTAGGGCGCTTGAACGCGTTGGTCTGTCCAGCGTGGCTTGGATGCCCGAAGGTTCGCGTCGAGGTTATCTTGTCGGAAGAAAGAGCGAGCTGCGAAAGAAGTAGCTATCGAGAGCAAGTTTGTAACGATAGGAATTGGACAAGATTCTCTCTACCGCTATTGACGGAGATGACACATCACATCACAGTACAGAGGAGGAGAACGGTCGTCGTTGGCCGTCCGAGACCGAGACGCGCTGAGGAAGAGAGGTGATGACGTCAGGCTGACTCGAAGGAAGCTGCGGACGAACTGGAGCAGCGGAGAAAAGAGCCCCCAGTTTGAGTAAAGGGTGATTCGTTTGTCGCGAATGTGAGACAAGTGGTATACCTAAAATATCTCACTCAAGCCGAGCTTTATAAACGGACTGCTCGATTTTGCAAGCATGTGGGTTTCAACGGGCATATGGGGCTTTTGTTCAATTCCAAGTGGGTACCTCGCTGCATTAAATATACATAATTTGATATATGTGGATACAGCTTTAGGGTTTACAGCCTCCCGCATATTCCATCCCATAATGTAGTTCTGAGTGGTATTTTGCTCACCAAATCCCTCTCCCAGCTTTTCCTTCCCAACAGTACAACTGATAGCCCAACCAAACCAACCCAAGCAAATGCAAATATACCAGGGCATATACATTACAATGGCTTAGCAAAGTACCATACAATACAGGTACCACTACCCTACTACAGCACGACAAAGCGAATCTCACATGCAAATTCAGGGCACTGCCCTGATTCAAGCCCGACCCACTCCTACCCCACACCACAGGCATGGAATGGGATGGTACCTAACACCACACCACTTCAACACAGTACCATCAATCATCCTGTCGCGAATGATCCGGAGCAATAGTAAAGCCCGAACCCCCCACCCTCCCATCCCCAACCACCACCACCGCCGCCGAAGAATCCACATACGAGCCCCCCAACCCCTCTCCGCCATGCCTCAACCGTGCCTCCATCAATCCATCCTCCTCCTCCTCCTCGAACATCTCCAGGAACTTGGCTGTGTTGGGATCGATGCGGCGCCGCAGGAAGAGCGGGAGTGTGAAGGAGAAGGAGTAGTGGTTGCGGCGGGCGAGGAAGACGAGGAGCGCGACGAGGGCCGCGAGGCATGAGAGGCCACCGATGACCGCGAAGGTGATGAGGATGGGGGAGAGCGGGCCGCTGTCCGCTGTTCCTTCTGCAGATTGGAGGGCGGAGAGGGTGAATGGGGGGAGGGGGTGAGGGAGAATGGGGGGAGGGGGTGAGGGAGAATGGGGGGAGGGGGTGAGGGAGAATGGGGGGAGGGGGTGAGGGAGAATGGGGGGAGGGGGTGAGGGAGAATGGGGGGAGGGGGTGAGGGCCGCGAGGCATGAGAGGCCGCCTATGACTGCCAAGGTGATGAGGATGGGGGAGAGCGGGCCGCTGTCCGCTGTTCCTTCTGCACAAGAAACAGAACTTGAGAAACGGGTGTGAAGCTGAGAGTGAGTAGGTAGCAGGGGAGAGGTGTGAACCTGTGACATATCCACGGCAAAAAGAGGCATGCACCGCACACCCCAATCACTTCACCCCCTTCCACCTCTCCTCATCCCCCCTCGCCCCTCCTCAACACCCCTCATCCCTCTCCACTCACCTGCCCCCCCCAACCATCCCCCACCTTCGGAGTAAAGCTCTTTCCCATTGGGGTTGCAGGCGGGGCAGGAGAGCACAGCACGGAACTCCCCAGTGAAGTTGAGATGCAGCTGACATCCACTCACTCCCCACTGTGTTTGTCAGATTCACAGCAGACATAAGCACTTCTCCAGCACCAGCACCGCACACCCCGAACAATTCACCGCCTCAACCCCCCTTCACCCCACTCACTACCCTCCCAACCCCTCTTTCTCCCCTTACCCGACCGGGCTCTGACGCGCATCAAGACTCCCCCAACCATCCCCCACCTTCGGAGTAAAGCGCTTTCCCATTGGGGTTGCAGGCAGGGCAGGAGAGCACAGCACGGAACTCCCCAGTGAAGTTGAGGTGCAGCTGGGAGGCAGGCGGCGCGGAGAAGGCGAGGGGGCAGAGCTCGAAGATGGCAAAGGTGTCGTCTCGCGTCCATGAGTCCGCCTCAAACATGCCGCACCGCTTGCACTGCGGCGGCTGCAACTCTGTCAGGGGCTGGTGACGGTTAGGGGATGATAGATGAACGGGTGGCACGGATGGGTGAAGGCGAGAGAGTTGCAACGTGCGTTTCAAACAGGAAACACCGCTTGCACTGCGGGGCGGCTGGAGCTCCGTCAGCGGCTGATGGTGACGGGTGGGGATGGCGGGAGGACTGGTGGCACGGGTGGGTGGAGGCGAGAGTTGCAACGTGCGTTACAAACATGCTGCACTGCGTGAAAACCGCGTGCGAGAATCCCGTGTAAGAATCCCGTGTGAGAATCCCGTGTAAGAATCCCGTGTGAGAATCCCGTGTAAGAATCCCGTGTGAGAATCCCGTGTAAGAATCCCGTGAGTGGATATCCTCGCCCTCACACTGGAAGTACACAGAGGGAGTCCATCCCACCTCTCATGCCCTCACGCACCCAATCTCTCCCCCTTGTCCCCTCCCAACGCCCTCCCCTCCACCACATTCCCCCTCCTACCCCCCTTCTCCATTTCAATCCCCCTTCCTTATCCCCCCACCCCGCCCCCCCACCTGGAACGACTCGTGCAGAGTGAAACTATCATCCACATTGGCGCTCTCAACGACCGTGAGCGCGCGATTCTCCTCGCCCTCGTCCCCTCCTTCCCACGCCTCCCCTTCATCCCCCCCTTCCAACCCCGTACCTGGAACGACTCGTGCAGGGTGAAATTGTAATCCACATTGGCGCTCTCGACGCCCGTGAGCGCGCGCTTCTCCTCGCCCTCGCACTGGAAGTAGACGGACGGCGTCCACCCCAGCATGTCGTGCGTCTGCTCCAGCCGAATCCACCTCAGCGACACGGGTGATGCTGGTGAGAAGGGATGGGGAAGGTGGGGAGGAAGGGCGACAGTTGGGGGCGGGGGAGGGAGGGACGGGGAGAGAAGTATACTGACGGCGTCCACCCCAGCATGTCGTGCGTGTCTCTAGGCGAATCCGCCTCAGCGACACGGGTGATGCTGGGGAAGGGAGCGGGGTGGAAGTGGCGAGAGAGGGAGGGAGATCGTGTTGGAAGGTATATGACGAGCAGCGGGAAGCTACTGGAAAAGCGCAATCGGCGCAGTCGGCGGCATGTTTTGCGCAAGATGCGCCATGAGAGTACGGCGCGCTTTGATTGTATCATGACGGGGATGGCTGATACAGGGGTCAAAGGTCCATAATAAAGACGATACTTGATACTAGAGAATGCGACTAAGGGCATGTGATTTGAAACTAAATAGACTACTATTGGCTTACGGTCGCAGATCGCGGCGCGTGCGAGGAGAAGCAGGAAGAGGGAGGCGAGGAAGGCGCTGCTGGTGCAGCTGCCGCTGTGCGCGCGGAAACCGCGCCCGCCAGCGGCGGTTCTGGGCGGCGCTGCTGGGAGCATGGCGGAAAGGTGGCGGAACGGGGTGGCGATTTTGCTGATACAAGTTAGCCGTGACGCGCGGCAAGGGGGCGTCAGAAGTCCGACGGAAATTTTAGCAGATTTTGGTTGTGTGCGCCTGGTTTATATGTTTCTTTTATTTCGCCCGGATGAGTTGGCGAGGGTCTCAGGACGCGGTGAAAGTAGACGATCGATCGTCAGTTGCGATCGGTGTGCGGACTGGTTACCCTGTTCACTCCTGTGTAACCATGCTACAGTGAGGTTTCTGTCCAATTTTTTTGCACAGTAAGTGAATGCGACTGATCACTGATCGCTGTAAAACTTTCCGCAGCATCAATGTGCAGATGATGTGCACGAACCTATCACACCATGCACGATTGATGCTGATGCCTGCGAAGTGCTGAAATTTCGCAGAGCGATAACTGAGACGCGCATGATCCTGTCATTTCGCAGAATTTCAAGCCGGTTGCCCTGTTGGTTGCGAAAGTCTCAGGTGTACTTGGGCGAAGGGGTTTTTTCTTAGACGGTGTCGCAGGCAAAGCCGAAATCTTCATTCCGTAACATCCAACCCATCCCGCAGGGGCGATCGTTACAACCGCGTGGGCGCATCGTTTCGCCAACCGATCCGCCCAATCGAGTATGCGGATCGATATACACGCACGATCCTGCGATATTATCACTTTCACCGCGTCCTCAGGCACCCACCCCACCAATTGCACTTTGATGGCACTGGCACATGGTGCGCCTCGCAGTAGGGTTGTAGTAAGGTTATCGTGTATCTTCTCTCTAACGGGAATGTCCAATCCACATTAGCCAATTCTTATGAGAAACAAAGTTTCATCAAACTACATTTATTCCTGCCTAGTCAAAAAACGATTCATGTGTCAAACTATATGCCTATGTTATAATGATATGTAGGCTTTAGTGGGGTAGCTAATGTAGGGTATAGGTTTTGTTACTTGTACCCAACTCTCTCGATAGTCAACCAACCTTTTTCCTTCCCGTTACTCTCGACATGGTATTAAGAGCAAAATAGGTTCTTAGGACCGTATTAGGACTGTTTTTCAGGGCCCACCAACCATTTTCCGCCGGTTACCGCGTTACCCCGCCCCCTGCCTACATTGCCCTGAGTCGCGTAGCCCTCGCGCTCGCCTCTGCTGGCCCTCGTGCAGCCCGCTAGCAGCCCGCCCGCTGCCTCGTCAGCCCCGCGCGTAGCTAGCTAGCTGCCTCGTCAGGCCCACGCGCTGCCTTCTACTGCCCCGCGCGCCGCTCCGCAGCCCTCGCGCTTGTCAGATTTATATGACATAGCTACTGTAGGCTATAGTGGGGTAGCACATATGGGGTACAGTTTTCTAGGGTTTACATTTTGTACCCAACTTTCCTTTAGTCAATCCATTCTCGTTCAGTTTCTCATGGTATCGAGCAGGTTCCCCTGTGGGAACTGTTCCTAGGGCCCACCACCTTTTTTTTCCTTCCCGCCTTAGCGGCCCCGTCGCGTCGCGCCTGCGGCCCCGTCGCGTCGCCCTCGCGGCCCCTGCACGTCGCGCCGCCCTAGCGGCCGCGTCGCGCCGCCCTCGCGGCCCCGATCCGCCGCCCTCGCGGCTCCTTCGTGTCGCGCCGCCCTCGCGGCCCTTTCACGCCGCCCTCGCGGCCCTTTCTAGCCGCCCTCGCGGCCTCTTCAAGCCGCCCTCGCGACCCCCCCCCCTCCTAGCCGTCCTCGCGGCCCCGTCGCCTACCCCTGCGGCCTCGGCGCCGCCCTTCCCTGCCTCGGCGCCGCCTCTGCTGGCCCCGTCGCCTACCCCTGCGGCCCCGGAGCTGCCCTTCCCGGCCCCGGCGCCGCCTCTACTGGCCCCGACGCCGCTCCACCCGGCCCCGACGCCGCTCCACCCGGCCCCGACGCCGCTCCACCCGTCCCCACGCGGCCCCGCCGTGACCACCGAGCCGCCGGCGCCGCCGAGCTACTGCCGAGCCGCCCGATCCACCAGAGCCGCCCGAGCCGCCGCGCCACCTGAGCCGCCGGGTCGCCGAGTCGCCGAGCCGCAGTTGCTGCCGAGCCGCCGTACCGCCGAGCCGCCCGAGCCGCCCGAGCCGCCGAGTTGCCGACCCGCCGAGCCGCCGAGCCGCTTGAGCCGCCCTGTCCGGTAAGAGCAGCGCCTCTGTCACTGCACTGCCCTTACCCTACTGTTCGCGCTGCTAGTCTACTGCTGTCATGGCTACCCCTAGTGTCCTCGCTTTTGACGCTGAGGGTCGGGCCATTGACTTTGACGTCTGGGTAGATGACCTGCAGCTTTTCCTACAGTGCGATAGGGCAGACGGTCTCTCCCTCTTTGACCTCACCTCTGGTGCCTCTCCTGCCCCTGCTGCTGATGCCGACGCCACTGTTCGCTCACAGTGGGCCACACGCGATGCTGCTGCACGTCTTGCTGTGCGTCGCCACCTGCCTACCTCTGAGCGTGCGCACTTTAGCCAGTACAAGAGTGCTCACACCTTGTACGACGCTGTAGTTGCGCGCTACTCCTCCCCTGCCACTGCTGCACTGAGCCGCCTCATGCTACCGTACCTCTTCCCTGACCTTGCTGCCTTTCCCACAGTCGCTGACCTCATTACGCACCTCCGCACTAGTGACACTCGCTACCGCGCTGCGCTTCCTGCTGAGTTCTGCGCCAAGAACCCCCCCCCATGTACATCACCCTCTACTACATAGTCACCCGGCTCCCTGACTCCCTTCGCGTAGTCAGGGACCACTTCCTCTCAGTTTGCCCCACCACTCTCACCGTTGACCTCCTCGAGAAGGCCCTCCTAGCAGCAGAGAAGAGCATAGTCGCTGTAGGAGCCTCTCGTGGTGACCCTCGCACCCCCGTCTTTGAGGGGTGTTCCCCCTCCCCCCTTTTGCCCTCTGTTGCCTCTGCTGCTGCGGCCGACCTCGTTGGTTTCGAGTCGGTCGGCGCTGTGTCTGCCCCGAGCGGGAGACGCCGCACCGGCAAGGGCAAGGGGGGCAAGGGTGCTGGAGGGGCTGGCGGGGGTGGCGGAGGTGGCGGTGGCGGCAGTGGAGGGGGTGGGGGTGGTGGTGGGAGTGGTGGCGGGGGTGGAGGTGTCGGTGGCGGCAGTGGAGGCGGAGGCGGCGGCGGCGGTGGCGGTGGGAGCGGAGGTGGCGGAGGTGGCGGCGGTGGAGGAGGCGGCGGCGGAGGAGGTGGAGCTGGTCGGGGTGGCGCTGCGCAGAGGGTCGGCTCCGGTGGTGGTCAGCGCCAGCAGCAGCAGCAGCAGCGGCAGCAGCGCACTCGTGACACCCCCCCCCCCTCAGCAGCTCCGTGAGTGGTACGGTGCACGCCAGCGGGGTGGGGGTACTGGTCCGTGCACCTACGTCCTACGCACCGGCGACCGCGCGGGTGAGCAGTGCGGGGGTGCGCACTCCACCCAGCGCTGCTTTGGCCGCCTGACGGATGCTTGGTGTCACCAGTTCCCTGAGGCCACTGAGATCCCCCGCTGGGGCGAGCTGTCTAGGGCGGGTGTAGCTGTCTTTGACCTTGACTTTGATGCTATTCTTGCTGCCATGTATGCTGTGACTATTAGTGATGAGGGTGACTGTTACCGGTGTTTTCCGCCCGACCCGGGCATTGAGACTGCTGCTCTAGGTACTGGTGAGGCTGCTGCTCTAGGTGCTAGCGAGGCTGCTGCTCTAGGTGCTCGTGCGTCTGCTCCCTCAGGTGCTGGTGAGTCTGCTCTCTCAGGTACTGCGTCGGCTTCGGCCTCCCACACCTTCACCCTTGACTCGGGGGCTTCTCGCTCCTTCTTTCGAGACCGCACCACACTCACGCCGCTTGGCCGGCCAGTTGCAGTCTCTCTGGCAGATCCCTCTGGGGGTCCTGTCCTTGCTCACTTCTCCACTGTCCTCCCGTGTCCGGCGGCCCCCTCTGGCACCCTGTCTGGTCTTTACCTCCCCTCGTTCTCTACGAACTTGGTGAGTGGTGCTGACCTACAGGATGCGGGGGTTCACCAGTTCACTCCTGCGAGTCAGCGGGTGACCCACTGCACGGACGCTCGGACAGGCCGACACCTGGCCACGTTTACACGTCGGCCGGGGTCGAGCCTGTACACACTGACCACTGCGTCTCCTCCAGTCACTGCGTCTGGTCAGGTAGCTGCGTCGGGTCAGGTGTTTGCTGCAGCGTCCAGGTCTGGTCCTGAGTCTGCCCCCTGTTTGTGTCGCCTCCTGTCGCACGAGACTCTCCTCTGGCACCACCGCCTTGGTCACCCCTCCCTGCTTCGTCTCCGAGGCATGGCCTCCCGTGTCCTTGTCTCTGGTCTTCCCCGGTCCCTCCCTCCCCTTCCTCCGGGGCCCGGCCCTACATGCGTCCCTTGTGTCGAGGGGCGGCAGCGGGCTGCCCCTCACTCCTCCCAGTTTCCTCCGACAGAGGCCCCGCTGCAGACGCTTCACATGGACGTGTGGGGCCCGGCCCGCGTCCGTGGACAGGGTCACGAGCGCTACTTCCTGCTGGTGGTTGACGACTACTCGCGTTACACCACAGTCTTCCCCTTGCGCAGCAAGGGTGATGTCACTGAGGTGTTGATCGACTGGATCCGCGCAGCTCGTCTCCAGCTCAGGCAGAGCTTCGGCTCGGACTTTCCTGTTCTGCGTCTGCACTCTGACAGAGGTGGAGAGTTCTCCTCTGGCCTTCTGCGAGCCTACTTTCGTGCACGAGGCATCCGCCAGACCTTCACGCTTTCGGACTCTCCACAGCAAAATGGGATTGCTGAGCGCCGCATTGGCATGGTCATGGACGTCGCCCGTACGTCCATGATGCATGCGGCTGCCCCCCATTTTCTGTGGCCGTTTGCGGTTCGGTACGCGGCGCATCAGATCAACCTTCACCCCAGGGTCTCCATGCCGGAGACCTCCCCAGCTTTGCTGTGGACGGGGAAGGTTGGCGATGCGTCTGCGTTCCGTGTCTGGGGATCTCGGGCGTTTGTCCGCGACTTGTCTGCGGACAAGCTGTCCCCTCGTG